ACAGGGCTTTACTAACAATTCTTCAATTTAATAAGTTATTAAAATTGAATTAATGAACAGCTTTGTGACGAAATTGTTGAAAAAGTAGACTGTTTTCAAAATTTAATACGTTAGGTCGTTACTCAGTTTGCGTCAAAACTCCGACTACCCCGAGTACCCGCAAAACCCAGGTAAAACCCCTGTATATTCTGGGTTACCCATAGGAAAACCCCGGGGTTTTCCTTACCCTGTGTATGTATTACTCTGTCCAAAATGTTGCACACGTTAGAAACGAGATCGAGGCGATCTAACTAGATCGTTTTTCCGATTTTACAAAACCGGTTAAAACTAGGTTTTCCATTTCCCCGAAAACAGGTTTTAAATTTAAAAAAACAGTTCTTTACAAACCGGTTTGTATTACACTTGAAAACCATTCTTCGATTGTGTATAAATATTGTTTTTGAAATACTAAGAAGTTTCCATTTCTTTTTTATATAAGAATAAATTTGTATGACGTATTTTTTCAGATCAGTGCTTAAAAGTAAAAATTATGCTTTAAATTTTATCAGATCATGTTTACAAAATATTTAAAATTGTATCTATATTAAACGACGATGTGTCGTAATGACCCTTGACAACGGATACGACTATGTGGCGTATTTTCCGTTCACACCGGCCTACGACTATGTGTCGTATCCGGAAAAAATTAGGTCATTGCCTCTCCAAGCAAAGCAAAGCAAGGGTTATGAGTCAACAACCCGCCCTTTAGGCGGGAAGATAAATTGTCTCTTAGGAAATAACATTAGAAAGGGATGCAAAATAAATTTATAGCCAAGTGGCTATATCTAGCCAACACGCCGAGTTGTGAAAACTGTTTTTTGCAAGGGAATTTCGACACCGATTTATTTCAACAACGCTTTACGATAAGATTAGAGAAATGGTTTTGCTCGCATGTAGCACAAACGGGCGTTTTGGGCGAGAAAACTAAAAGTTTGATGCATTGCATCATTGCATGGATTTAATTATATACCACAAATAATCTTGCCGGTAGGGTAAACTACGTCAAAATTAATGATTACGTATCGGGTGCCGCTGAAATATCTTTTGGGCGGGAAAATTAAAAATTGAGAGATTGCCAGGAATTAGTAGAATTTAATTTTCCCGCTTAAAATTGATTTCTATTCACCAGATGCGCCATAGTCTATTTTCGAGCAATTTCCTCTCACGGGATAATTATTCATTGTCATTGCTGTCTATTTAAAGTCATTGTAAGGATTTTTGGTTTTCCCGCCCAAAATCGGCTCCTAAGGCGCTATAATCAATATTTGCGAGTTTACGTACTATTATGCAAGTATTACTCCATGCTTGTCTAACTTTTCATGCAATTACAATCATTTTTAAAATTCGGCGTGTTGGCTATTTTCGGCGATAAACATTGGTGGTTCGCCACAACTCAAAAATGCAAATTACAACTCAAAATCCCTTCTTGAAAGGTTATTCACATCAGTTTTCATAAAAAAGTTTACAGAATAATTCCGGTGGGAACACCATTTTTTAATTCATGGCCCAGGAATTAACGTCATGCAGTAGATAAAAATTTCGGGGTCAAGGGAGGTAAAAATTCGCGGTTACTAGGGGTGAAAGGTACGAAAAAACTCGTCTCCTAGGGTTGAAGTGGTTAATGGTACTGAGACGGCCAAGTCTTGCGCGCCTGGAATTTACAGCTGCTCTACACCCACCGGGCCGGCCAAAATGGTGGAACCTTGTACAGCCGTGTGTCACTATGACCCTCATGGGAAAGAAATAGATCTCAACGTGTATTGTGACGACAAAAAGGGGACCGCTAGACCGTCCGGATTGAAGTTTAAGCGTCAGAAAATATAACGGCCGTGAGTTATATTTTGATGTCTGCTTACTTTGGCCGGGGGACGATAGTCTTGCTTATGAGTTGTAAACGAGTTAGTCTTAAATGAACTGTATCTAAGTCATCACCAAATTAAGCTAAGCATTTTTGGACTCCCAGATAAAATTTGAATGAAAGTATATAAATTCCTCCCAGATATAAAAATTTTAGTGATCAGTCATTGCTGCGGTTTTCGGGGATTATTAAGTACTTGATTTTAAATTGATATTTTTTGAGCCAGTTTGTCCAAAACTCATTTACAGCTCATTTACAGTTTGGTCTCAAAATAAAAGGTTACGCTTTTTGAATTTCTTTCAAGCTTGTACCATTTCATCCTGAATTTATCCGAGATTCCAAAAATGTTTCAAAAATTAGTTTTGCATAACCTGGTGACAATTTAGAGTTCATTAAAGGTCAAGTCATTTACAACCCCCCCTCAACGCTAGGGGACCGTGTGAAGTTTGTAAAACTATGTCAGATGGGGTGTTTTCTCAAGAGTTGTCGATGGATACACTCAATCATCGATTCTCAATTAGCTATAATAGTTACTATCCTTGACTCGGCAAATCGGAATATGCAATATAACTTTTTTCAAGCATGATTTCATTGCAGGTCAAAAACAAGGCGAAATATCTAGTTTTGGAATCAGGTTCAACCCAGAATATGACAATATTTGTGTTAATTTTAAAATAAAAATGTAAAATGAGCATTGTATAAAGTCCCGACACATGTGTTTAATTATTTATATGAAGCCACACAATTATACATAATTATAATTATGTGAAGATCCCAGTGTTTATCAAAACCACTAGTGTCATCTTATTGAGAGTAATTCATGACCCTGTGTATTTCTGAATAGTACTAAGTATTTTATCAATAGTATCTATTTTTGGCACAATATTTTAATTAAGAAATTTTAAAATCAATGTGAGACAAATTACAATGATGGCAGTCAGGAATATGTTATACATGTGTTACATTGCGAGCACTAACTATGCGATGACGCCAGCGGTCTCGCTCCGATTTTGATGAAACTGCGATAATTATGTAGCATACTTACATAAATAATTGAACACATGTTTCGGGATTTTTCATAATGCTAAGTTTGAACAAAGTTATGATGGTATAAGTGGCCGAAAATTCGCATTTTTCTCCCTCAAAAACAAAAAAAGAAAAACTTCGAGAAAAATGCGAATTTTCGGCCACTTATACCATCATAACTTTGTTCAAACTGAGCATTATGAAAAATCCCGAAACATGTGTTCAATTATTTATGTACTTAGTGGGGGCAGGCTAAGTGTTAATAGATTGAAACGCCATAGCTTCAACAGTTTTTGTGCTACAAGGTTCTAGTTAGTTTTATTGGAAAGCCAGTTAATTTCTGAGTAGAAAACAATCTTTAGTTTTCGAAATTTCCTCCGCCAGCATAAATGCAGCGCTGAAGAAGCCGCCTGCAGTCCTTCGCAGAAGCACGCACTGATTCCTGGACAAGGTGTTCCATTCTGTGGTCAAAAATTTTTTTCAGGCCTCTACACTTTTATGAGGCTTAGACCACACCTCTGCCCCTAAGTGTGACCACATTTCATATTCCAGGGATTTAAATCCATCAGGGAGGATGACAATCTTAAAGTGGAGAAAAATTCCGGAATTTGTTTTTTTCAAACACGCTTGGGTCATTTTCTGCACTAAAGCTCGTGCCAAGTCCTGCTGAGAGGTCCCATCGATTCCGTTGAATTGAATTTCACTTAGGGGAGGTACCACGGACTCAAAAACATATTTCAAGAAATTTAATCCCCCCTCTTCCCTTCATTTTCGACAAAATGTAGAGGAATTGCCCCTATTTGCTACCACCTGCCAAGACCATGACAAAACCTGGATAATGTGACTTTTTGACCCTTTGTCTATATTGGGGGATGTCTTTGACCGATTGTGTGTAAATTAGGTGAACACGTTTGTTAAAAGATTCTTCCGATGTGAAAATATCCTCATCTGTAAACAGAATCCTCTTCACTTTTTTGTCGCGTACCGCTTGAGGAGATCCCTTCATTTCTGTAGTAGGGTTTTCGTTATGGGAATGCTCAGGAGGTGGCAAGTACAACATTTCAGAGCCTTAAGCCTAAGGTTCAGTTTGAGTACTCATTGGATAATCTGCATCAGCAGTGTCGGCTGTGAGGCTTTTTCGCGTTGGAATATCGTGAATTTCTTCGGATTCTATTTTTCAGCCATTTCACGATGGGTGTGGTCCTTGCAGGCTTTCAAAAAAAAATTCTTCGAATGTTCTTAGTCGATCCGGTCCCCATGAACCTTTCTATAGGCTGTTAGGCTAAATTATACGGCTCCTTCGATTCCTGCCACACTTTTAAAATTCGCCATTTCTCTTTCCATTTTTATAGTGACAAATTATTGCCACCTACTTCCTTTCAATATTTTCCATGCTAATCTGCTTTTCAAGTGGTCAAAAACTGATATGTTATTTATGTAAAATCGCTCGAGCAATCCAATGCACTTATCAGATTTTCATTATCTGCAACGGTTTTAAAGTTTTTAGCTATTAACACTTAGCCCGCCCCCACTAAGTAAGTATGCTACATAATTATCGCAGTTTCATCAAAATCGGAGTGAGACCGCTGGCGTCATCGTATTGTAAGCATAATACATATATTACACTGCCCTGCAAAAGTCATCGCCAAACATTGACACAGTGATAGCTCAAAAAATTGGTGAGATAACAATTTGAAATTTTCTAGGGTTATAGTTAATCGCATTTCTGATGAGATAGGACTCCAAATTTCGAAAATTGATGACTAGGTCAAAGGTATGATCTTTCGACCTCAAATCCCAAAAGTGACCTACCTCAAGGAATTTTTTTCCTTGGTGTTTTTATTTTTATAAAGTTGGCACAACTCATCCTGAACATAATAATATTAAATAATATTACACTATTTTTTAATAGTGTAAATTAATGCTTGAAGTTGCCTGATAAAAAACGGACAAACAACTGTCAAAGTCCATGATGACTTTCCGTTGTAAATACACAGATAATATGGGTAATCATAAAAAAGATAATGGTGGCATATATGTGTATGTACATACTTATCTTTTAGCTTTGTTGTGCGCATTATCTTCCAATATACGCATACCTGCAAAAGCTAATACATACATTTATACTTTGAATTTGAGAGATAGAAATCTACCCAGTATCAACTTTTTATCCATTTCTTTACAAGGTTCTATAAAGTTTAATTAATATCTTACATACATTGTCTGTATAATGTTGGTCTCATGTGCATAACTTGAATTATTTCAGACATATTTATTTGTTACTGTTATTCCGAAAGTTGTGGACGACAAATCCATCATCATTGACATGATGGAAGCCTTGACGAATCCGGTGGTACGTACATAACTTCTAAATTTAGCTTAATTCCAATCAAATAATCTAATGCATTTCTACCAGATTCTTGAGCATATCTTCAGTAAACTCAGCCTCTCCGATTTGAAAACGTCTCGTCTCGTGTGCCGTGAGTGGGACGATGTAGCTGCCAGTTTATTAGGAAGGTCGACCTTCCTCAACGTAAACAAGGTTTTCCCCTTTGACCCGGCAAACCTGTACGAAATGGTTCGAAATGGTTCGATACACGAAATGTTTCGAAATGCTTCGATCAACGAAATGCCTCGAAATGCCGGAAATGCCATTACTTCCGTGAACGATAAACTGAAACAATGTCTTTTAATTTCGGACCACCGTCAAAGCTTAATTCCAACGGACAATCGTTTCAACATTTTCACCCAAATGATGACCCAGACCCAGGACATATCTCAAGTTATCCGCGAAATAAAGTTGTTTTTCGTAAGCCAGAAGCAATTCGCCGTCAGTTTCCTGAAATGGATAGCAGTCCTAAAGATCACAAGCATTCAACACGTTTCCATCAGCATTTCAGAAAAAGCAAGAATCCTGCAGGATGAAGATCCAGTTCAAGAGTATCCAAAACTTCCGATTCAAGCTAATTTAACGTCAATCAAATTCACTTGCCCAGATGCTAAACAGGAGATCTTACCCGTGTATGAAACCTTCTTCCAAATACTGATCGATTCCGCACCCAACTTGACCTCGTTGGACATCACGGGAATATTCTACCCGAATTTGGAACGGTCCAAAAAACTGGAGGTCTTGGAATTTCGTTTCCATCACTGGTCTCATTCTGCTCCCACTAAACTTGACTTGACCATTCTGGCAAACATATTGGCACAGGTTAAGGATTCCTTGACCGAGTTGAAATTTGGCTACATAGGGAACGAAAATATTGACTTGGTAAGGGTAAAATCGTAATTAGGGTATGACTTCTATCACATTTTCCACACTTCTGGCACCGCACTAGGGCCGAAGGAAATGAAATAAATGCGAGAAAGAAGCGTAACTCCTTGCGCAACAGATACGCCTAATTATTTGGATTTCCGCTATAAGGTGCTAGTACTTTGTTACATTTCTTGCATTTCGACATAAATTTAGGTAGGCATGTATATGTACATTTAGAAAAAAAATCTAAGGGCACGTCGATATATTACGTCATCATTTTACTGGATGGGTGGTTTAGGTCTTCTTATCTGTCGTAGGTTACAATTTCCTACTTCTTAATTACGTTTTAAGGGTTGGTGCTAATACCGAAAATTTTTGATGACGTAATACATGGATTGCCCTTAATCTAAATTTAAATTGCAGCTTGACAAAAGCTTCCATCACTAAAAAATACGTACATATGTACATATGTATTTGTTAAATAATTTGCAGGCCGAGAATCTTAATCCTCCTGTGATGTCGGAACTTACCTCGATCACCATTTATTGCATGGACCTTTTTCTATTTTTTCCACCATAAGCTCAAATGTCGGGGCAACCTGAGACATTTGGCGCTATATGTGGAACATATAGTATGTTGTCAGGCACTCTTATGGGAAATGTCGGGGGCTCGTACAAAAAAACGGTTGGGCGTAAAGAGATGCCGTAAAGTGCATTAGATGCCTCTCGAAAAGTTTTAAAATGACTTTTTTCTAATTCATGGTATCTTGAACCATTTTCAAGAAATTCAATAAAAACCGATTTTTCGGTTTCGAAATCATAAATGTTTCGCTGAATGAATTGGGTGCATAACACAAAGTTGTATGTAATAGCAAATATGTTCATAACCGCATTATCTATAATATTTACTCGAAAATTTTTTCGAAATAATGCTAGGTACAGGCGGTAAGTTCAAATTTCCGAAAAATTTTGCAATTTCGGCTACCAATTTCTCCACTGAGCTACAGCCTAGACGATACATTTTGGTAACCTAAACTAAACGGGATCGTATTGGGGAAGGTCCCGGCTAGTGCCCTCGACTGATTGACTTTTTCGAAATAAGCCTTGGTTTTTAAGATATGGCGCGATTTCTAAAATTAAAATCCATAACTCATATTTGGTATGAAAAAATAGAAATTTTCAGCGGTTTTGCCGCATAGCTTGTTAGAATCCGCAATTTCCTGGACGAGACTCATCTCCCCAAACTAAAAAATCTAACCTTTTCCAAAAGCGGTTATGGAAATTCGATCTATTCAAATCTGTGGCAACGACACCGAGGAGTTCAATATGTAAACGTCACCTGGTCGCTTAACTCACCTGGCGAGTTCGGTAAAACGGTTGTGCAGTTATTCCCAGCCGTGAAGAAATTTGATTTCACTCTTTGGTCATGTGGCGGAAATTTAATACAAAATATTAACAACATATTGGAACCGTTGGCAATGTGGGACCTGAAAGAGGCCAACGTTGTTGTTCATAGGGTTGAAGAATCCTCCGTGTTGGTGGAAATCGTTAAAAACATGGAAAATTGGAAGGGTAACAAGCTTGCTTAAAATGGCGAAAATATCTTTATCAATGATCATTTATTCATTTCAGGCATTAAACGTGTCCACTTCGTAGACGCTGAAATAAAATATGACGACTTTTCTCCCCGAATTCCAGACCTCATCCGATACGGGAAAGGATTTAAGAGCATTAAGATTTCTGGGAATGAAAATTATGTTTTTATGGTATGCCCATAAAAAATTAAATTCGGGAATTATCTATGTAATGTTTCTTACATAATTCAGTTTTATAATTTGTTTAAATAGGATCCAGGCCTGGTGGAATTAATGCGGCCCACTTTTGAAGCCAGTGGTGCACCGATTCATGTCACAGGAGGTGTGGCCCGTAGATGTACTTGATGGCCTAATGCATGTATTGGATGGTTTGGGAAGGACGTGTAAATATTTAAATTATACATAAAATGCAACTCAATAAAATTCATTGTATTTAATGCAATACAATATTTCGATGAGTAGTTTCAAGGTCTTCACAATACTTTGTTTGAATCCTGACGCATCAGTATTTTCATCATAACTTTACGCGACAAAACTACATCACTGGTATAATTTTAATATCAAGCGGTAGCAAATTATTTATGTACACTTCGGTGTGCATAAACCCTTAACTAGGAAAGGTGGAAAACATGTAAAAAATGCCGAAAAAGTGCAACTAATCAAACATTTCAAATTCACCTTAGCTAAATCTGTATGAATTTGCATACACAAGTGTAAATAATATACGTAAACCTGCACCAATTAATTTTATTCAAACATATTGTATGATGACAAATTCTTCTTTTATCTTTGTACATAAGCAGTACCTACATAAATAAATTGCGAGTTTAAAACTGGGTTATGGTTATGTACCTCAAACTTTACAATTGTACATACATCCAAACATTTACTGACCTAGAACCAAGCTGTCAACAAGGTTTTATCTTGAGAAGATAAAATGTTGTACTTCAGCTGAACACGAAGCATGCAAAAAATTTTCTATTCCAATTATTTACAATAGTAATTATTAAAATTTAATATACTTCGTTCCAGAGTAAAGTTATACATAACTGAAAATTTTACATATTCGTATTAATTAAATATTTAAATTTGTACATGTGATTTCGTGTTAATAAGTATAACATTAATTTGAACGATGATTAGCATGTGGAATAAAGTGACAATTGCACTTATAACGTGCATCCTCCTCCTTGAATCCAGCCAAAGTCTCCTTCTCAGAGATAAGTTAGGTCCAAAATCGAGAACAACAGTAAGATTGGATGGATGGAAGCTTATTCCGACACGAAATGGGAAACAATTATGGTCGGATCAATATCACTGGCCGATTTTGGTAATGTGTTATTAAATACACTTTTAAAAATAGTGTCACCCTTTTAAAAAGAAGATGAACTCTAAATTCTAAATTAGGTAAATAAACTATGCTAAATAAATCCAAAGCAATGTTAATTTGATACAGAGTAAAGTTTTCTTACGACTTCAGAATTTAGAATTTATACATTTATTTTTCAAAATGGGAACATTATTTTTAAGAGTGTGGTAAAGATGTACACCTCCTGCGTGACCTACATTATGATTTTATCATTAGATTTCGAACTCTCCATGCGAACAAGATTGTCGTTGCCCGGCCTGGCGAATTCGACCCGTTTGTGGCTCAGACGGAGTCACTTACAGAAATCACTGTTACCTTCACTGTGCCAGAGTTTGCACCGGAATACGTAAGTGCTTATGTATGTATGTATTTATGTATGAAACTGATTGAGAAAATTAGTTGGTGACAAAATTGTTGCCAACCAATATAGATATGTACACTATTATATATGTAAATATACATTACCAAGTGTGGTAACGATTTGGTACTTAAGAGCTTCGGTTCTATGTACTAAAATTTCTCTCCACTTAATCAGAAATTTATACCACGTTCTATTTAATTTCCCGATTTTAATTTGAGGTTGAATCATTTTCAGGTATCCAGATTGTTCATGAGTTCCAGTGCTATAGACCACAACGCCCCTGGGTATGGAATTTATGTGTGGAAATATTTGGAATATTTATGAAACTTGTAAATATCAATTTTTAAGTTTGTCTAATTTAACGAATAGATTCCAGACAGTAGTCCACCAGCTAAATCACCTACAAACATAGGATGGGGTTGGATTCCCCGGTAAAACTGGAAGAACGTATTAATTTTTTGGTATTACCGAGCCACCGTTTGGTATGGAAATTATACCGGGCCGTCAAATTTGTTATCGATATGGGAAAACTTTAACACCGGACTGATACCACAAGGCCTTAAATACTTATGTATGGTAGACTAATATGCGAATATTACTTGGTATTATTTCAATACCGGATTTTTAAGGGTGCATACATATGCAATCAATATAACAGCATCGTTTAAATTGTTATGTAAAAATGAGAAAGATTTTATTTAGCATTTTTGGTGACATGTGTATTACAGTTTTTAATAAAACTACTGCTTAATAAAGTAAGGTGCTTAAATCTGTGTAAATCAAACCAAATTTGTATGTAGATAAGTCATATTTGCAAAAGTAATAAACCAGCTTCTGTTTGCTTTAGTAAAACACTTGTGAAGAATGTTGTAGAACCGTTTTAAACAATTAAATAATGGGCATACTCACTTTCGCATGGCGAACTCAAATCTTGCAAATTTAATATGACACCATATGTGGCTTTAAGTTTGGCGAAATTCACTGAATTTCAAACAATTTACGGGATTTTCACCTTTTTCAGGAAATCTATATTGCAAATAAATGAGCATAAATATTTTTATATCGCTGTGTTCACTAAATAACTTACAAAGACGTTTGACGTGAGCACGCCTAATTTGACATCCACGTACATATGTACATACATATTTAAACATGCACATCTGCATGTAGCACATGTGTTTACTTATTGGCATACCTATATGAACACATGTCGACTATATATGTGCATTCAGAAGCCTATATTTCCCACCTAACAATGTACAACAAAAAAGTAGTGTTGATCTTGTAAATGTACTCTCAATTCCACGTACATTAAGCAAACTATACTAAATCCCGAGCAAACTTTGGTCTTTATCAAGTTAACCTTACCCTGGAATTTGTATAGGTTGCTTAATTTTGAATTTAGCCCGTACGTACTTTTTAAAAGGGTGACATTATTTTTAAGAGTTTACATACAAATACGCATGCATGGATACATACATTTTTCCTTCCATTTTTAAGGCATAATGCACATTCAAGACACAAAGGGATGTACATATTTAATTGTGCAAATGTATAGTTATTCTGAACCAGCGAATTTTGCAGTGGTATCAAAAAGTGGATACATGCATTGCATACATTTTATGCACATGCAGCTCAACAAAACCAGTATCTACCTCAATGAACAAGTGTGCATAGGCATCTCTCTCTCCTCACTCACGCACTGGTCTTGTTAACAATGCAATTTTTTCGCAACAACAATGGCACCACACCCAAGTTCAAACTGCATTGTTAACGATTTATCATTCAAATATTGACTTTCTAAATATTTATTAATGAATTGATTTGATATACATGCGTTTCTACACGTTAGAAATAAATGGAGCCTCGTCCAACTGAGTTTTTAAGAAGGGCCCGTAGCTCAGATGGTAGAGCGCTCGCTTAGCATGTGAGAGGTACAGAGATCGATACTCTGCCGGTCCATAGCCACTTTTTTGACTACGTTTTTGCTGAATTTTTGGTATTTTTAAATAGTCGAAATCGATATGATGTGCTACAAATTTAATTTACTTAATATTTTTCCACGATTAAAGACGCATGCTTATACCTGAAAGGTTATTAATCTTGTTTGATACTGAATTTTCTTATGTATGAAATTGAGTTCATTTGTCATACTATGCAGTGCTGAAACATTGATACAGATTTTAGGAAAATTTGTATCCGAAGTAAAATACATATTGAGAAATTCAGTATTAAAATAATACCAATCCGTATTCATTCCGGCAAAGTGTTATTGAAAAGATGTACCGACAGTGTAGCAAAAAGTAGCTGGGTATAAATGTTTTACCATACATGTAGTAAATTTGTACGGGCCGGAATAATTTTAATATGTACCAACTTAAATACCGAGAAATCTATACTTGCCTGATAATACCAGATTTTTAACAGTGTACCGCATTACAAAAATAACAGTGAGATCAATTAAGACTCCATAAAAGCCATATTCTTCATCACGCACGATGCCCATCCTGCAAAAAGTTTCCCTAATTACCCAATTAATACAGAAAAATGGCCTTGCAAGCTGTGGCGTCATGTCTTATTTCAGATGAACAACTTACATATATATTTCCTTGGGATGGAAATGTACGAGACATCAAAAACCAATGTTCCACCTGTTTCGGGAATTTTTTACCTGAACCTTTTTTCGAAATCTGTACATTTTTTTTTTCATCCGCCATTCCTTGCACGCACTTGCTACATTTTTATATCCGTAAAAAATAAAGGTCAGGATTTTCAAGGTTAGACAAGAAAAATTGCCCTCGCAGATCTAAAATGTTTCCCTTTCTTATCAGTCATCATGGAGCGACAACACGCCAAACTCTGTGGGGGGCGTGCATTAAGCATTTTGTATATTTTCAAAATTTCCTTAAACCCAGGGAAATGTCTTCATTGATGCCTAAATATGCTCAAATTAATGTGATACCTTTTCCCCAAATTCCATGACCATCCTTATGCACGGTACCTCAGAATGGAGGGCCTTACTCGAAGAACGACGATCATTTTAGTAAAGATTAAATCTATTTCTTGACACGAAAGAATGATGGGTACCCTTGAGTGGCCTATTTATTTTTATTTCCCATCCCATGATTGATCTCATCTCAAACACTTTTCACGTGAAAATGGAGTGATCCTTCCCAATTAAGAAGGAATGCGACCCTTTTTTCTCGACACTGTTTCCATGGAAACGGAGAGATAAGCCAAAAAGTGACGCTTACTTTGTTCACATCCACATTTGAGTCTGGCGTCTCCTCGGAGACTGCAAGAGTTCGATGAAGTCTCGTAATTTCTCGTAATTTTTTTTAAGTAAATCGTCTCACACAAATATGTAAAGTGGACAAAGTTTAGTGCATCCTTGAATTTGCGCATAAATTTTGGATTGATTTGGTGCTATTAAGCATCAAAGTTTATACAAATCCAGACCTGAAATACAGAGGTTAAAATCGTAATTGGTGAGTATACTTTTTCTCATAATTCGTAAAAAGCATGGCCAAGTTTAAATAACGAGAGGGTTCTGAATTTTAATTTTTTACGGCCATTTTTTTATTTATTTTTTCATGCAAGAGTTAATTGTCTTTGATTCCATGCACTTGCAGAAAATTTCCATCAAAAACGAGACGTCATTGAATGATCTGAAAATGTGGGAAAAAAATTCCAACAAAGCTACGAAAAGCTGAAAAATTCTCCGATTTCTCAAGGTGAGAAAATTTTGATCTCCAAAGATGAGTATATTCATTATGAGTGTTGACGTCGCTAGAAAGAAAAAATAAAACAGAGTTTGCAATTTCATAAAAAATAGGGGTGGGAAATTTATTAATTAGCTATTTTCAACACATCTCCAAGTTAATGTTGTATTTAGGTTTTTGAAAATATTATGTTGCGATTCGGACATGCGAAGTCGTACTGAATGATAGGATTGATACATGTCAAACTCATGGGTACTTTCTGGTTGGAACCGTGTACACAGAATGTGATCAATTTACATATTAATTTTACAGATTACACGTTTGGAAAAATCTGTTGCAGTCATCTCTGTCCTTTTTCGGTAGAGGTAATCTACAAATCCACGTCCGAGTTGTGCATGAAGAACGGAGAAATTACACGTGCGAATTCTGTGACACGAGATTTTCCCAGTCATCAAATTTTAAGGTTCACGTGGAGGCGAAACATAGGAGCTGATCCATTCCTGCGACAAATGCGGGTTCATGACCTCCTTCATTCTTGGCCATCCACGCAAAATGGCACCAGTCTGCAAGTCATGAATGCTACTTCTACCAGAAGAAATTTGTCCTTTTTTCCTGGTTTGGTAAGACACATTCCCAATCATGCCCTGAAAAATTAGGATACATTTGGTAGATTTGTGTTTTTAATTGGGGTAGATTCTGTGCACCAATTAGTTTAATTGCACAATTATTTTTTCCGTATGTATTTACAAGATAGTTAGAAGATAGCCATTAAAAATGTTAGTCGATTGGTAAATATCTCTCCTATAACTGCATTTGTGGCGTCGTTCACCAAACTAACGACACGATCGCCAATTTGATTTATATTTACGAGGTCTTGCCTAAAGACCACCGGGATTTGCTATCTTGGTATGATATGTAAATAACGACCAATATTAAAACTATAACAAAACAATGGTATAGACTTCCTTCCGAACCACTTCTTTCAGCAAGCTCTGTGTACAATATGCCAATTAAATGGTACATGTATAAAATTATAAATAGGTATGGAAATTCTTACATGGCGGTTTAAAATTGCCAAAAAGTTAAATACTTTATTTTCCCAGGATTTTTTTTGGCTCTTACGTTTTTTCTGTAGAACTCGTTCACCTCCAAGATCGCTGCATTAATTTTGTCCATCCTAATATGGACAAAATAAAGTATATTGGAAACAGATTTGCACACACCTAAAAATTAAAGAAATCGATCCCTTTTCACGTAAAAATCCTGATTTCTTGAACTCATTATGAAACTCTGGTACAGTTTCATGTAACTCATAAAAAGTATGAACTTTTAGACAATATAACGGCTGCATTTGCATACTTTACTCTGTTAGTTTAACTTTGATACAAGAAAGAGGGATTCACCAGAATCCCATTTCACGGGGTTCTGAGGGAATAGTTTTTGAGGTACTTTTATCATACAAGGTTAAAACAGTGTTACTAGTATTAGACGGTGGACGGAATCACGTGAAGCTACTGATTCTTCTTCCCGTTCCAACATTTCGATTAAAGTTGATTACCTGATAGAATTAACAAATTTCATTGGTGTATTTTTCAAGTAAGTATGACGTTGATTGCAAAAATTACATGATCGATAATTTGAACTTCTCGGTGTAAGTACCGGGTAAAGTGGTATTGGATGCATATAAAAATTTAAGAAATACTCGGCCGAGCACTCAAAAATACTCGGCCGAGTCCGAGTAGTGAGAAGACGGCCAAAACCTGCCGAGTACTCGGTGCATGTCTAATTAGAAGAGATGAAATGTTGACAATTTGATAAACCAGCATATGCATACTTAATACATATGTAAATATGCAAACTTAAATTAATACGTACATAATTATATACGATTCACACATCGAAATACTGTATACACATGTTTCTACTACAATTTCTTGAATTTTAAGAGGCTTTCTCGAAATAAATGGGTTTTGTTTTATGTATAAAGCGATTTATTCGAGCTTTCAAATCTAAACTTGCAGGATCATCAGGAAATCAGAATTTTAGCAATTTTTGCGAATCGAAAAATCATATTAACAAAAATTTGCCATCTTCATACATACATTTACCATTATTTGAATTGCAGCAAAGCTTTAACCGTGTAATCGATAATGGCCTGATTATACATGCATACAAATTCTTTACTAATCTTGATTTGAATCTCTCTACCCAATCCGATGTAAATTTGGACAGGTTGCATAGCTCGTAACCGCTTCCGGTACATTTTTCCGGCTACCGTTCCCAGTCGTGAGTTGACATCACTCATCCAAAATCTTATCATTCCTTCACTCAATGACGTACATTCAACAACAAAGCATAACACGGTGTTTAATAGTGTCGTGACCAACACGGTGGAAATGGGAAACATTGGGTAAACACTTTTTGGGAGATAAGTCCTCATCGTTATTGTTGTCGCCGTGAATAATTTTACTTATTAAGTAGCTTCAGCTACTTTATGTGAAGACTTTGTCTGTCTGTCTGTCTGTCTGTCTGTCTGTCTGTCTGTCTGTCTGTCTGTCTGTCTGTCCGTCTGTCTGTCAGCAGGATATCAGGAGAACGGATCGAGATAATCGAAATCGGTTTTCGCCATCATACATAGGACCCCAGGGGGAGGATCCTATCAACTTTTGGGGGCAACCGGACCACACCCCTTTGGCGACAGGGGGTGTGGTCGGGGCAAAATGAGATTTTTAGTGCAATTTAATCTATAGGTGAAATAGAGTAAAATTATGTGTTCCGGAGTTGTGCCACACCCCCTCGGCGCCAGGGGGTGTGGTTGGGGCAAAATGAGATTTTTAGTGCAATTTAATCTATGGGTAAAATTAGGTGAAATTGAGTGAAATTAAATGAAATTAAGTGAAATTAAGTGAAATTAAGTGCTTCCCCGATTGTGCCACACCCCCTCGGCCCCAGGGGGTGTGGTTGGGGCAAAATGAGATTTTTAGTGCAATTTATTCTATGGGTAAAATTAAGTGAAATTGAGTGAAATTAAATGAAATTAAGTGAAATTAAGTGAAATTGAGTGTTTCCCCGATTTTGCCGCACCCCTTCGGCGCCAGCGGGTGTGGTTGGGGCAAAATGAGATTTTTAGTGCAATTTAATCTATAGGTGAAATAGAGTAAAATTATGTGTTCCGGAGTTGTGCCACACCCCCTCGGCGCCAGGGGGTGTGGTCGGGGCAAAATGAGATTTTTAGTGCAATTTAATCTATAGGTGAAATAGAGTAAAATTATGTGTTCCGGAGTTGTGCCACACCCCCTAGGCGCCAGGGGTGTGGTTGGGGCAAAATGAGATTTTTATAAAAAATTAATCTATAGATGAAATAGAGTGAAATTAAGTGTTCCCGAGTTGTTCCACACCCCCTCGTCGCCAGGGGGTGTGGTCGGGGCAAAATGAGATTTTTACAAAAGATTAATCTATAGGTGAAATAGAGTGAAATTAAGTGTTCCCGAGTTGTGGTGGGACCGTTTGGGGTGAACTACGTCTGAAGCTACTTCCGTATGCGCGTTTGCGACGGTTTATTTTGAATAATGCTATGATTTTTATCTGATAATTTTAAGGTTTTAACTGTATGTAAATTAATGATTTGAGATTATTGGGCATGGGCAATGACACGTTATGAAACAGTTTTATGAATATGAAATTATTGTATGTATGTATGTATGATGGAAAATGCTTGTGTAACAAAAAGTCAAGACAAAGTCGTATGTAAACTCGGGCCACTATTTTAGCCAGTGAATGTAAATGTAAGAGAATGATGTGGCAATCAAGAAAAGAGGAGTTTTTAGTCAGGGAAAAGAAGAAAGAAATTCAGACCCGATCGAGCCGAGGAGGAGGAAACTTACCTTCAAATTAACTAGCCAGCTTTTAAATATTTTCTCGATATTTTTAAACAACTAAGGTCTCACTTCAAGTCGATATAAAGTCAATCTATACGTAATCGCCCTATGTAAAATAAAGCTCCGTTTTGAGTTTGTAAGCCCAAATTTCAAGTAGTTTCGCGTATCATTTCGCACGAGTGCATTTACGCCTACTTTCGAACTCGGCATAATAAGACGGAGCCACCCCCATCGCCATCATAAGTTCCTGAGGTCAAGCTGAGATATCCCCCCAATGAGCAGACAGCTCACGCCCCCAGTTATGGTGACCACGTTGACAAAAATTACGACCGACCAGCACCCAAAGAGAAGGAAGGACGCAATGACGGCGAGGTAAGGTCCGAGTCGGGCGAATCCAATGATAATCGTGTTATACAGAATTATGTAAATCCTATAATGAGTATAAAAATGAATTTAATAAATCATAATTCACAAAAAGTGTAAAATAGACGATTTCTTCATTAAAAATTGATTCAATTCAAAAATTGGAAAAGCATATTCCTTCATTGCTCATTTATTTAAAATTGAAAGATAAAAATTTATTATGCAATCGTCCTACATTCATTTTGTCTCAAAGGCACCTTATCAAATGGATATTAAAATATAGTGCACTCACAGAAAAATCGACACCGAATTGACACCATACCGGTGTCTATATATGACTCTACCGGTTTGGTGTCAAATTGACACGGCGCGGTGTCAATTACGTTGCACACCGCGGTGTCAACCCAACATGCCGTTGTGACAATACCAACACCGCGAATGGAAAAGAGGTTGTGCTCAGTTATGTTGACTCGACACTGCTAGGTAACGAAATATGTGTATTTTAATATATGCATGTCACCACTCGGTGACAAATCGTCCCCGGATTGTGACAACTGAAGTACAAGTTTTAGTAACAAATATTTTATTTTACATTCAGTAATATTAGCCCTTAAAAAATTAATCAAGTATTTCAAACATATTCACAAGTAACAAATTATTACACTTATTAAATTAAATAGTAAGTTTTACTTCATACCTTATGCACTTTTACAGAAAAAGCTTATGTTTTTAACACGGTTGACGGTGATGGTCTGAAATATGAGTAAATTTTTCAGTTAAATTAACTTTGAAACAAGATATTTCATAATAATTAAATAGGTTGCCGGTTGGACAAATCTTTATTCGTCACTTTTGGCTCCTTCGTTGGGTCCAGCGTCGAATTTTAGCTGTATTAGAAACAATAAGTTTATACATCTATAGATGTATAAGGTGACAAAGATAAATCAATTCATTCTTCATAGACATGAAATGAATAAATATTTGCTCAAAATTCAATCATTCAAAAAATTCTTTAAAAAATTTAATTCATAATTTATGAATTTGTTGAGTAAAAAATAAATAAATTATTCATTCTATCTTGGATACATCAATGAATGTAAAGAGGTATGAATATGAAACAGCTTGAAAGAAACGTTAAGATAATCAAACTCAATAAATCCAACCAACCTGAAATGCGGCTTCCCCGACGTTCCCATTTTCTCATAATCCTTCCCCAAAAGCCGAACATCGTGCCTCAGTAACCACGACGGACACACGAAGATGCACCCCACCGCGAGAAATATTCGTCCCGACGAGAGCGTCGCTGCCATTACCATGACTACGGAAAAAGCCTTAAAGGTAAAATACCAGAATGACGAATACCTCTTCCAGTCTGGCCGTATAAAGTGTTCCACCACGAAAGTTAGCGGATCCAGGCCTTCAATTACTCCAAAAATGCCCATCGTTGGGGCCAAGTAGGCCCAAAATAGGGGGACATAGCTGAATACTTTTACCAACAGGGTTTCCCTCTTGGTCAATTTACCCCGATCCCTTGGACTCATAACATTCCCCCAATTAAGTAGCAATTCCTCCATGTCAAATAAAGAGTTTACTGTGGAAACGACTTCATTCTGACAAACCAGGGCAAAGCATGACAGACAGATGGCACCACCACACCCCATAATGGATCCTGCTACGGATAACATTTGCATCGGTGTGGCAAACAAGTCTTGATCTGGATAATGACCAAGTTCCATATATTTTTTGAAGACGTAGACAACTTGGGCTAATTTGGGGAGGACGGCGCAAATCCCCAGGGTAACGAGGCAGTCGAGTCCCCATCCTAGCAGGTCTTTAGAGCTATGCACGGCAATGAGTCGGTGGGTCTTTTTACTCCAAATTATTTGAAGTTTGGTGAATTTTTCGATTTTTAGGCTGTACGAATCTATAATTTGGTAAATTACTTGAGCCATTTCGACCAAACTGGGAGCGAGGAGAGAGCGATGTACTGGTTATTCAAGGGACAAGTTGTGTCGTAAATAAATGGCTCGGAAAATTAATTTAATAGGTTTGCAAATTATTTATGCTACATTGGTAATTCTGTGACGAATATATGTACTTCTGTATTTCAAACGTATGTATCACATATCCAGTGATAAGTAGTTCCGCTTTGGTAAAGTCAGCTACATACTTATTCTAATTGTATATGCAAATTGCATCTATTGGTAGAATATTTATGTAATGCGTCATCTAAGAATTTTAATGGGCACACATCTGTACATACAGGTAAAAATACCACGCAAAAATTACACTAAATTACATACCCACGTTGGCTAAACCTAGCCATATATTATTCATAATTCAGTTATAGCATCATGCATTAAGCTAAAGGGCGCAAAACACTCTGCACAAATAGCTAGCTAGTATAATATCCTTAAAATTTCTAATCCACGCTAATACTGCCTGACACAAGATCTTCCTTAATTCAACTATCCCAATCACTACCGAAGTGCAAATTAATACCCCCCATAATACAAACAGAGTAAGAATCGCATCCCCCAATCTTATTGGGTTGTCCTCGCGTTTGGGTAGGATATAATTCGAATAACGTGCATACCTTCTCGTCACCTCCTCAAAATCTAGACACGCCTGAATCCCAGATTCAAACAGGGATTGAAAATATTGCGGAACTTTAGAATTTCCCTCACCCTCAAATGTCCAGCCGCCCAAAGCATATTTTTAGATGTCCTTGCCTCTGTAGAATTTTCTCCAAAAATATTTTCTGGACATGTCCTTAAATTTGTAGCCCATTTCATAAGCGTCAGAGACAAGGACGGATTTTCCGCACTTCAAAATCTCATCATTAATTGTATTTGGTGGCACTATCGACATGTTATCCCAGTTGTTGACATGAAAATCAGAGTACGTAAAGTTGCCGAACGTAAGTGAGTTCCTCTTACCGAGGAGTAGGATTACTATTGTGTCCAGAGGAATTGATTCTATCCATTGGTGAAATACATCACCAAACTGATGCAGTTGGTGATCGATAAAGTGGGAAACTATATCGAAAGCGGTTACAATGATTAACATAAAAAAACCTACCAAATCCGGGGACAAAATTTTGTAACAATTCGTTGAATCTGGTGGCCTAGAGAATCGCTGACCCATTTCTTGAGTCGTCGTAGAAATCCACCCGGTTAAGTTGACTCCTTCCTTATACTTATTGAGAATATCTTTTTCCTGGCAAATTAAATCTTGAAAAGTTTCAGGTATATTAGTTTCAGGAAGCGGAGAATTTAGACTAGAAATCATTAACCCATTATAGCAATTGGTTAATATGACCGAAATCATAATCCAGCTTCCAATCACAAATCTGAAAAAATGTTGTCTCTCTAGATGCACAGGGACATATCCAGTTTCTTCGAAAATATTCGCCAAAACAAATGACCATGGACAAAAGGCTTGGTATGAATTAATATTTTTTAATTTTTTGAATAGAATGAGAACAATTGAAACAGTAACAACTGAAGCAACAAGCATTCCCCATAGTAATGGTTGGAACGGAGATACGTAGAACTTAAACGATATGATCGTCTCGGAATAACAAGTTATAAACCGGTAGCCGTGAAATCTAAATGCCACTAATCGCCTTCTGGCCCATTTCTCCGAAGTACTATCCATGAAAGAAATCCCCAACCTAGCACCGTATGTGTGCCTCCTCGGGTTATCATGATAATGCAGACTTGCATTAGCGTGGCAAAAGACTGACTGTAATAGGTGTTGATAAACTGATGTGTTTGACAATCGATTGAACGGGTTAGCATAGAAGGCTAGTTTACTAATATCTACGAATTCGCTGTTCATAAACGCAACAGTTATTTCTTTTATATCCAACCTCCAAACCATAGGAATGGAGAGTAAATTGCTGAACAACGGGACAATCTCTTCATTTGCGCTATTTTTACAATTCATCGTGTAAATGCTCTTTGACATAACGCCGATAGGTTGGACGCAAAGACTGAATGTCCCATCTTGAGATAGGAACAAAACTCCAAGGTAGTCAAATATGGGTGAACCTGCGTCTGGGGTTCTGTACGGATATTCAAAGATTGTATTAAATTTTGATTTTTCTGTAGCGGAGACCAAAATTTTGAACACATTTTTATAAATGAAGCTTGACGAGTGCACAGGTTTCCCATGTTTATATTGATGGTCTGATGCACCCATCCATCTTGTGTAGTATGGCTGATGTAAAGTTAAATTTCCAGGAAAGTAAAACTCAAACACAATAAAACTGACTCTGCATTTTGAATTTCCGAGTTTTGATAACTCCATGGCACTTTTTATAGGAGTGCTAGAATAATCAGACCCGTTTATGTGAATTAAAGTGATTGGGTGAAAAGATATAGAACTACCAGGTTGAAGAATGTGGTCACCAATGTTATCGTAAACAATCTTTACATGGCAATATTCTGATCTAGGTAGCAACTCAGGAATGCTAACATGCCTAAAATCCTCAGAAAGTTTGCATATGATTTCGTCAAGTAGCTGCAGTGAAATGAATAGCGCGATAGTTTTTAACCGCACTGAAATTGAACCGAACATTTTAACTTTCACATTTTGTAGATTTTATGAACAGCTTATTTTGATGAGCTGGATAACATTAATGCAATTAAACATCGCTTGGTGATTTATGTATATGTATGGATAGAAATGTATGTATGTATTTACAATCAACGGCGGAAAAATAAGGTATGCAGGTAAACAGGTATGCATGTTCACATTTCGTGCTTATATATTATCCATTTTCTTGATGAGATTTTGCACATAATTTGTTTTTTACATGTATACACGTGTCACCTACTAAATAATTCACTAATAATGTCACTCTAAATAATTCGGTATGATGTACTAACGACCTTGTGATACCTGATTGTACGTTTGATAAATGTATAAGACCCAGCCTCCACAATCAACTTGAAAAGGAAAAGGATTATGCAATGCATGTTTCTTGTTTAAATAGCGGCGGAAATATTTACAAACCCTGATACTTTATTGACCCAAGCCATACAAAAAATTTGACATTCTAAAAAATATATTAATGTACAAAATTTACCAAAAAATGTAGCCTGTCTACTTATGTATTTAATAACAATCTTTAATAAAAAAAAATGTTCTCATTAAACGAAATGCCAATACTTTCTAATCGTTTAAAAATAAAAATACATAATAAACCCAGAAATCCAGGTTAAAAATCCGACAACTTGCTTCCTGGCCGAATTCCCTTGTCCATTACAACCATTTCCGGAACAATAACATTTCTCCAGGACTCTTACATTCCCAACGATCGGATATAAAAAGTTGTTAAGTCCTCTGGAAATGCATTCTTTCCCATCGGTTCGAATTTCACTTGGTGTAAGTTCACATCCCCGCAAAATTACGAGACCCCCGTCACCCTCCAATTCACCTGTGTATGTTACACAGGACACAATCTGAGGGCCCTGATTGTGATTAGGTGCCTGCCCCATGGAATGTCGGATGCTGGCTGGAAGAAGAAAATGACAAGTTAGGTTTTGGCATTGTAGATTGCATCAAAGCACAAGGTTTACATATGCAACATGAGTGTGAAAGGATAGCTAAATACTTAATAAAATGTGGATATTTGAATGTGTATACATAGGTCAGACACTAATTACACCACAAAGTTTTTAAACATACATAAATACGCTCAAAAATTAGAAATGTATATAAAAATTAATTTTTTTAAAAATTTATGTATGTATGCTGATAGAATCCAGGTACAAAGTTATATGAATTTACAATGCGTGTATGTACATATGTATGTGTACACGGTAGAAATACAGTATTAAAATAATTCCAAGTGGTATTGATATGTGACTCTACCAAATGAAGTGGTATTGATACACACGTACAGATTTACAGATACTACCGTATAGAAATACAAAGCTTGATATTACAAGTTTGTCATACCGTTGGTAGCAAATTCTATAAACCGTATAAATAACCTAGTTAAGTTTACTAATACCTCAGTTTAATACCAAGAGGTGGTAGCCTAAATACCGAGAAATTAATACGTTTTATACGATACCTGATTTCAAACGTGTAGCTTTCACCTCACTTTCGAAAAATTCGGTTATAATAATATTTTACAAAACTAGCACAATTATTAAATTTTCATTAAAAAAAATATTCACCTTCGACCTCAAGGTTTCCGAACCCGAAACACTCCTTTTTCCTGAATCTTGGCAACGGTGGCGTCTGAGCACATGAGCTGTGTCGTAGAGTTTGGAAATGTTTGAAAATATGAACACGTGTAGCACTCGAAACGACCTGAAAAATTGTTTGATTTGTTTCCTTGGAAAATTATTGCATTCATAAAAAACGATGAAATTAATCAGCTCACTTGGAATAATATGAACGTTATGTGGTATTGAAGGAAAAATATTGCAGTCTACATTTCTCGGTTTGTCGCACATGCTGGACCGTGGATTGAAGTAGAGCCCTTTTTGGCACGCGATTATCCAAATGGTTCCATTGTCACATTGATAAAATGAAGAACAGTTGGACGGGTTGGCGGAAACATGGCCATGTCGTGTACAAGATAAATCTGCAGATTAAATTAACTTCGATAATTAGCTGGATTTTTTTTCAAAATTTACTTTTCGAATTTGGTTTCCTCCAAGCTATTCATGTACATATTTACATAAATTTATAAAGTTGTGTAAATCACAATTGTTTGACGTAGACGGTGTATAAGGCTACACTCTTAGGCAACTGGTATTGAATTATTTCGAATCATTACCGGACGGAGTACATATATGATTCTACCGGCATCGGTAATATTGATCATTACGGCGTAGTAATGAGGTGGTAATGAAATCTATACCACTCAGAATCAAACTATTACCAATCCTGTAAGGAATTATTACCAAATCAATACCAACACGGAGTACATATGTGACTCTACCGGATGCTTTACAGTGTACCTATACATATACTCTTACATAGGTACATATACTCTTAGAAATTCAGTATTATTTAAAATAATCCCAAGCGGTATTGTTGTTGGCCGCACTTCTTGTTGATCTTGGTGTACACGACATTGATATTTTATGGTTATTATCCTTCTTAAAATTTCGTAAGCAGATTGTTAAGTTTGAAAAGTCGTTTTCAAATCCCAAGAGATTAACATGCGGTACACCAGCCGGTACCAAACTAGCTGCTCTTCTGTTTATTATCTTAATTAATCCGATTCTGAATGCATTAAAAATCAAATTACTTGATATTAACCCCAATTTTTGTATAGCTGGATACATTGATGATTTGGTTATTGCTGAAAGAGTTATTGGTAATGCACCCAAATTGCAATCTGCACTCAATATTTTGAGTGAAGAGTGTAAGGCAGTTAAAATAACGCCCAATCCTCGTAAATGTGAAATATTGGTAGTTAATTTTGGTGGAAGAAGAGTTAATTTTCCTACTAAGTCCTTTTGTATTGATTCAGTTCCTATACCCGTTGTAAAGAGCTTAAAAATTTTAGGGGTGACTTTTTGCCCAAATTTTAGTTGGGATAGTCATATAAAAAACATTGTTGCGAAAGCAAACTCTAAATTATTTCAGTTAAGAAAATTATTCAATGCTGGCTTCTCCAGTAAAGAATTATTAATAGCTTACGGTGCATATATTCGGTGTAATCTTGAGTATTGTTCAGTTGTGTTTGGCTCTGGCTTGAACCAGAAATTAGTTTACAAAATTGAAAGTGTTCAGAAAAAAGCTTTAAGTATAATTTTCCGAAAACGAGTTGATCATTTAAATTATGTTGAATGCATGCAGGAAGCTGAGTTGATAACTTTAAATGAAAGGAGAGAATTGGCTCTTAATAAATTTGCTTACAAGTTATTTTTTGGTAGGTATAGGCACTTTTTGCCGCAATTCCAGCGTGCTTCGTGCAGTGGTGTGTCATTGAGGTCAAACAAGGATTTACTATTTCAACCGGTAATTAAGTCGTCAAAATTTAAAAATTCCCCCATTAATATGATAATCAGCAAAATTAATGACGAATGGAAATCAAAATCCACGGTTTTTGGCTTGTCATTTGAAGCTCTAACAAATTTGATAGATTATAGCTAACTTTATACAAACTAAGAGTAGATAATATCTTACGTACATATATATTGTTAAGTTAAATATAGTAATTTAGCCCTTAGTTATTGTTATTTAATCATTTAAAGTAAGTTATTTCTGTTTGTAAGCTCACGAAAATAGGCTAGTGTGCTATGCTAAAATTTCATTTTGTGCATTCCCTAGTACTAGTAAATGAGGGTAATAAAGGTTATTACTATTACTATTACTATTGATACGTACATATGACGCCACCAAAGTGGTATTGATAAGTAATACCGTGTAGTAATAATAAATAGTTTGGCATTAAAGCGCTATCAAGTAGGGTACATATTTTTAACAATCAGTCTAATTTTAATACCAAGCGGTAGTAACCTGAGAAATCTATATCTACACACGTGGTTACACCAGATTTCTCAAAGTATAGGGGTTGACAAAATCCATCCCCAATTTGCAGACATTGTGATACAATATTTTGAAACTATTTCCAAACAAATATTTGGTACACAAAATATTTTGGAAACATTACCAAAAACTATTTATACCAGATTTCTTACAGGTTACATATAATCATTTTACTAGCCCTTTATTAACCAACTTCCTCATACCTGTTTTTGTCACCATTGATGAAATACAAACGAAATAACAAGTTATCAATCCACAAACGAATTTGGTTTTGAAATACATTATATCTTAAATGGAACGCTTGATTCAGTACGTTTTAGGTTAAAAATATTATAAATGTGTGCTTGCTAAATTTTTCAAACTCGAAACAGAGATTTGTTCTTGAATATTATTTTTGCAAATGTACTTGTACTCGGGAAAGGTGCAAAAGCAGTCAGGAAATTGGCCTGTGAGCAACGGTGAGTATAATAAATTTAAGTATTTATTATCATGTAATCTCTTCCTTCTATTTACTGACTGACACAAAGCGAGATAACAGTTCGCAAATAAATGTAGCAGGAAAGTGAGTCATGAGTCAGATGTAGATTACATAAAAGCATTCGGTTTTCGCAACCAATACCTGCCTGACTCTACGAGATTTATAACAGGGTGCTAATTTATTTATTAAGATAGATGTATATAATGAAATAGCCCTTTGTTAGAGCTCTAACGATTTTCGAGTTTGATGGCTTAAAATTTCCGTAATTTTGTGTACATCAAGAATATGAAATAATATTGGGGTGGCGCATAGTCAGTTTTCGCGATACGAGCCAAAATGTGAGAATTTTGTTTTGCTAATTTTGGATTTTGGCTCAAACTTAAAACTTAACTGTCTTAAAATAAAAGACACACTCAAGCAAATTGTGCATGGTACAGGTATCAGCTAAATGGCCTCGTTACACATTTTAAAAATTCGTTTTCATCGTACACAAATTAGTACTACTTTTCTTATTTGGTTTATTAAAAATCACTGTCCAATTAATTTTTAACCTCACAAACAGGAAAATATGTAACTAATTATAAAGGATTCGTGTACCTACGAAATTAAGATGTTTCATAAATAATTTTAAAGTCATTCATATACGTAAATATTTTATCATGCCCAAATATACCCATATGCTTGGGTATTTTCTCTTGAAACGAAAGTATTTAAATGAAAGTTCGTTGCAAATGTCATTGGTTAACCAATTTTGCGAATAATTCTACCATTTTTGGTACAAATGAACGGATTTGTTTTATCCGAGCGTAACGGATTTTCTTTTCCTTAGTATATGTGTTCCGGGTTCACGTATGTACTCGTGTGCTCATATTTACCGAACACCCGACCAAACTTTACCCGGGTATCGTATTGGATATATGCAGGTACACCAGTGCGTAAGTTTTTATCTGCATACATATATAGACATATTTAACCCCGAATCTCATAGAATTCTCCAACAGCCTGCTGACCACACGCAGAAACCCAAATATTATACGTATTCGAACCAAATTTTATCTGGGAGAAAAATTTAATTTTAGGAAACAATGGCTTTTGCCAGTATTGGAGGACACGTGGTCGCCAGTAAAACCATGGGTAGAAAAAATTGTGTCGGCAGTTCGTCCCAAGTTGACAGGAAATACATGAATTTACGCATCGATCTGCCATATGGACGAGGACAGAATGAATTTTGTGGAAAGTTAAAAATTACTCAGAAACTTGGGTGGAACGTCCAGAAAATTGAAGACACGGAGGAGTGGAAATATTACGGTAAATTAAATATTTTATCTAACCATTCAAATATTTACACTCTTAGAAATGGGGTTACAATTATAGCCAAAAAGTTAACGTATGTGACTCTGGTTATAAATTTGTCACAGAGTGGTTACAATTGTGACCGACTAATTATGAAGTTTCACCGACTTGGTATTATTTAAATTGTCACCAGAAATAATAAATTTATAACGCGTTGGGGACAAATTCATAACCACGGCGGTAGAGTTACATTCGTTTACATTTTGGCTATAATCGAACCCCCATTTTTAAGAGTGTAGGGGTAAGAACAGAGTGGATATGAGAACAACAGGATACAGTTTTTCCCCAAATTTTACTTAAATGCTAAAATTCATAAGGAAACACTTATCAGTAATTCTCAAAAAAAAATTTCACCATATCAGGGTAAAAAAAATTCTGCAAAAAATATGCTTTGTGCCCATAGAAATTTACCCCTTAAATATATTATTTCATACTGGATATTTAATATAATAAAATATTTTCGTTCATGTTTAGCCCTCGTGGTTGAACTTCAAGCACTCGTGAAAACCACCAACGCACGTGGGGAACGGTGTCACACCCTTTTACGAGAAATTACCCCGGAAGCAAATTCCAAATTTATATGCAACTCAAAAATATTTGCAGTGGTGTCTGGAGAGGAAAATGGTATGCGAAATTAATCGAAAACAAGGGTATTCATGGTCTTATTGTGTCACATAAATGTGCAAGAATGTAAGAATTTTCAGTGATAAAAAAGTTACAACTTTTACAATTTCGTAATTTTCATAACCAATGAAAATTTCAAAATCTCAAAATCTCATAAATCTCAAAATTTCATAACCAATGAAAATTTCCGATCAAGTCATACCTATATTACAGGTATACATGACTTGTTCGGAGATTTTCATTGGTTATGAAATTTTGACATTGAGATTATGAGATTTCGAGATCTTGAAATTTCGAGATTTTGAAATTTCGAGATTTTTATTGGTTATGGAAATTGTGTAAAAGTCGTAACTTTTTTGCCACTGAAAATTCCACCATCTACACATTTTCTGGTTTCGCAACCTTATCGCATCTTTCCTTAACCAAATTTAATTTAATAAATTACGTTAATATTCAGGAATACGGAAAGGCTTCAATTTGACTCAACTTCGTCCATCAATCCTGCTCCGAAATCCGGTCTCGTTTCCGTTCAAAATCCAACTTCCACAAAATCCACTCCCAGCCACCTTAACATCTCGAGCCATCTCCATTGACTACTTCCTTGTCGCATATCGTCGCACGGACAATGGCTATGAACCCCTTCTCAACGAGAATTGCCAAAATATCGAGGCCATAACTTAATCTCGTTTGAAAACGAATCTGAAAAAATTAATTGGACCATGACCACCAAAGAAATCAACGCAACTTTCACCTCCCCACAAAAATTTTACAAACTTTACCAAAAACAAGGGCTCAATTTCAAGCTGACTGTAACCCTTGGAAAAAATTACGGATCCGAAATCTCCGCCGAATTTATCATTTTACTCGTCGAAAAGATTTCGCAAGATGGCGTAACACTTTTCCAGGAAACTGAACTGGATTCAAAATCTGAGACTAAAAGAAACCCAAGTCTCACATTTTCTGGCAGCTTGCTCGATCCGAAGAATAGGACGGATAATAAAACGCTTATTCGTGCCTCGTTTAATCCGGGTGGGGATGCAGGACTAAAAATCCAGCATTATTTAAGGGTATGAATGAATTGCAAATATTTATTGGATGACGACATTTATCTAACAATGCGATGGTGTGAAGTGTAACCCTTCGATTTGGTTGAAATTTCGAAATTATGTGGTTTATGTCAATACTACCAACGTTTCTTGAGGCAGTTTGTGCGATGGTCAAAATTTTTCAAAATATATGAGGGAAAAGTTGAAAAATGTGCAATTTTTGCACGGGAGGAGAATGTATGTAACTTTTGCTTCCTCCGCTTGGTAAAAATCGCCCATTTTTCAACTTTGACTTATAATCAAATATTTTGACAAACTTTTATCCATCGCACAAACTGCCTGAAGAAACGTTGGTTGTATTGACTAGGACCACGTAGTTTCAAAATTTCAACCAAATCGGAGGGTTACACTTCACACCATCGCATTGTAAGAGAGCGTTCATTATTTTTTAACATTTCTATTACAGTTTAAGGTTATCTTCCCGGAGGAATTTGCTAACTCGTTGAAAAATATAGAAGGAGAAGAGGAAATCTTTATCGGAACGGGGAGAATTTTGGGGGAGGAGGGATCCAGATTTTTTTCCAGGATGAGGTCACAATCCATGTCATCTCTCCTGTCGCTTTTTCCACCATCATATTCCCGAACGCAGAGTCGGAGAGGATCGTTAATGTCACTGGAAACTTGTGAGTGTTCAAATGGCAATATTTGTATTTTACATAAAAAATTACGAAAGTCTGACTATCATGGTTATTGAATTTTTTAGTGCCTCCACATTATGACGAGTTATGTAGTGGAGTTGGAGCATGTGAATTAAGGGACGAAGATAACGAACAGGTTGTAAATAAATTCTAACGGGGCCGATTATCGAAAATTATACATGTGAAAAAGTCGCTATTTCGATTATTAACTTCAGGAATTTATAAAGAAATATTTATCAATATTTTACCATAATGTTGACCGTAAAGATGTCCATTGTCTTTCTATTGGAAATATTTAACTTACAAAAAAATCGTCGTAATTGAGAAAGGATTAAAATAAGTAAGACTAAGGTTTATTAAATAAATGTAAATTTACTTGTTTTTATATCAATCAAATAATTTCATATTAAGTTCTAATGGCAGTAATACAAAGATGATAAATGATTCCGATGGTTTGTTTGCAGCGTCATATTGGTGAGTTGTCTCGAACCTTGTCATTATTATCACTGGCGACATGAAGTCGAAGATTGTACATAAGCATATGCATTAAAATTTGTGCAACTTGATCCCGAATAATTGGTGGAGGTATATAGATAATCGGCCTATATGTACATCCATATGAATATCTATTAGTCACGACAAATTTAGCATTTATCTGATTTTAGAATCTCAGCGTATATTTTACCGATTTAGTAATCCATTTGTTGAAGAAGGCTTTTGTTTGCAAATTTATTCTGTAAATGGTGATTTTTTTTACATCGCGATGCAAATATAAAATTTGAAGTGAGCACTACTAATGACTAATGCATACGAAACTAGGTAGGTATATATGTGCATACGTATGTACATATGTACACAGATATGCGAGCCCCAGCCCAGCAACTTATGTATGATGAATTCAACAATCTATCTACGTATTTAATACATATCTATGTACAGATGTATTTGTACTCATTCATCGATGAATACATACCATCACGTCTTAACTGTTGCAGGAATGAAAGGATTCGTATTATCAATAAATGCCAAGTTGAGGCAGGATTTAAAAATTTTAGTTATCATACCATAATAAGGCCCGTGCATAATGGGTATCATGAATTTGTACGGAACATCTTGGTCGAGGCATCCAGTGTGGAAAAGATGTAACGATCAAAATTGACGATACTGTTTATGTTCAGCCCCAAGTCGAGTGGCTCAACTATGATTCTTCTCATCTTCACGTTTTTGAGTATTCTCAAAGGTTAAAAGTGACCAGTGTCGTACTTATATCGAATATATGAACTGTATCTATCTGTATCTATATATACATAAATATATACACACATTCATACATACTTACATATGCTACTACATATTACGATTACTGAAGCAAACATGTATCCATATTTTGTGACATGTGACCCTTTTTTACATGGCAAATACATATTTGCTGAAATTAGTTTAAAGCCGATCTCACAGCTTAAAACGAGGGAGCTAAATACATATGTTGCGAGATGAATTGGGCTTAGGAATAAGTAAGCATGTATAATTGTAACTTTATATATTTATACATATTTATCTTGCATACATTTTCTAATATGAGTTACAATCTTATGTAAACGAAATAAAGTTTTGCTAATGAGGCATCCTTTGTTGGTGTCAAGCTCTGATTTTCTTCTTATCAGTATAAAACTGTGTCAAATGTAATGTTTTAGAACTTTACGGTACAATGAACAGCATTATCTTCGAATGGAGGTTGCAGAAAACTACAAAGCAAAATATTTTTGCGCAAACAAACAGTTTTTAGTATTAATTCATTCAAGCACAGTTCCGTGCACTTCAAAAATCTAGCATAACATGGCCATTAACATAGACAGGGTGATTTAAATGTCAGGTTACAATGGAAAGTTTGTCAATGGGAACAATTTGCAAATCTCCATTAGTTACTTAAATTTTGCATCTCAAATTCAATATTTTAAGAATTTTGTCATCAGTTTTCCATAAGTTTTGATAAAAATTAAGAAAAATCTCAATCCCAAATCCGTAACTAATGGAATTTTACGAATTTTTCCCATTGCAAAATTTTCCGTTGTAACCTGACATTTAAACCACCCTGTATACCTTCGCTTATGTACACCTTTTGTTTTATAACTCTTTTCAAAACCAATTTGCAAATAGTCTAGAAAAGGAATCTATTTAATTGCATTTAATTTGGCACTGTTTGAGACTAAAATGAAGCAAATCGGTGCAGGACACTCAAAAAATTTCCCCCGTATTTTAAAATTACATTGAGAATAAAACTGAGATTTGTATTACGTTGAACTTTGTCTTGTAACCTTTACAAACACATAATCGGGACGTGATAAATTCACTCATGTACATTTTGCTGGCTCGTTATCGTATTTTGCAAACTTACTCAACTTTACGTAACGTGTACAAATTTAGTTATATAATAATTGCTTCATTTAATCTGATATTAAAAACTTAAAAAATGTCCAGAACTTACTTGATCCTCGTATGATCCACATCTCAGCGAGATTAAGACGGAGAAAATTTAATCCACAAGTTGGAAATTTTCGGTAATCGTTGCAAAAATATCTTCGTATTAACTTCATAAACCATTTCTTGATTATTATTTTTTTATTTAAGCGATGGAAACCCGGTCGCCAAGATGGGCGCTATTTTTACTGGCTGCGCTATCTTCTAAACCCATTCTATTAACTGAGGCAAGTTTAGAAAATGCGTACGGTCCGCCAATTGACTTGTAAGTATCTGACGTGTATTACCAATAAAATTATACCCAAACGTAAAAATTTTCACCAAACTGGTATTATTTTAATACTGGATTTTCAATAGTGTTAAAATTTACAAAATGGAACAACAATCAAATTGGTTCAAATTTTTTCAAAATTATGCAAAAGATATATTAAAATTTTCCACTAAATTCTTCCCCCCAGCCTGACCGGCCTTCAATACACCGCTTACCAAAAAGGTCCCACGTGCTCCCCAACCTCTCCCATTCTCTACCCTCAAACCACCTCCGACATCCAAGCCATCATCTTAACCGCAGCCGCCCTTAACACCACGGTCAAAGCCTTCGGTCACCGCCACTCCGCGACCGACATCATCTGCACGGACGGGATTCCCATCGACATGCGCGCTTTTCAAGAATTCTCCTACGACGCGGCCACCCAAACGGTCACCGTCGGCGGGGGCATGTATCTATACGACGCGACCCAAGCCATGGCCCTCGAGGGGCGCGCAATACGAACCATGCCCGCCTGGGGTAACGTCACCATCGCGGGCGCCATGGGGACCGGCGCGCATGGATCTACCCTCCGCTACAATGCCTCCATATCCGATCAAGTCGTCGCCCTAACGATCGTCGACGGTACCGGGACCGTCCGCCAGATTACGTCCGATTCCCCCGATCTACCCGCTTTTCGTCTGCATCTCGGTCTACTCGGGGTCATTATTAACGTCACCCTCTACACAGTTCCGTTATACAAGGTCACCGCGGTCAATACCGTGGTCAATGATGACATCCTACTTAACGGACAACTCCTCGACATGGTCCGCGCCGCCGACCAAACGACGGTCTATTGGTACCCTTCCCTGGGGAAGCTGGTCATCGGAAATTGGACGATTGTCGATCCCGCCACGCCCGGAGAGGCGTGGACGAGTGATCACGTTCCCCCAACGTCAGACACGCATAATTTATACGCCGTACCCTCTTTAGAGATCATCCAAACGTTAAATGACTCCTTAGGATTGCAGGTCTTTCAGGTTTACACGTTGGCCTCGATGTACACGGACGTTCCGGATTTCGCTCCGATTTACACGACGAATGGGTTGACCGTGTCGAATCCGGCGACGGGATTTTATGACGTAATGTTTGCCCCGATTTGTCAGGAGACGGGATTTTGGGCGTGCCCCTGGTTCCACGCGCCGAATCAGTATTCCTTCACGGATAACGAGATTGATATCGATGTCAGGAATTTGACGGCTTTTGCGGCCGATATGAACCAGATTTTGGCCACGAGGACGGCCGCGTTTCCGTTTGATGGGGTGCTGCTTAGATTTTCTAGGGCGAGTGAGACACTGATGAGTACGTCGTTGGGGAGGGACACGTGCCACGTGGAGTTTTATATGATGAGGAGAAGGGATTCGTATAATGATACGAGCACAGGGTTGGCTTCGTACCAGGCGATTCTGCAAACTTTGGTAAGTTTGGGGTCCAAATTGCGAAAAATCAGGTAGTAATTCATATCATATACTCACTAGAACATAAAGCCCACAAAATCTGGCAGGTTATCTGGCAGAGTAGCAGATTTTAAACTTTTAGATAAATTTGAGTAATTTTTTCTCTAAATATTTTTGCAAAATGAACAGTAGTCTAAAAATCAATATTTATTAGGCTTACTCACGTGATCGCCCTATTTGGCACCACAGATTAGGGATTAACGTTGCAGAATAAAAACATTTTATGCGAAAATTATCCAACCAAAAGGTACAAACTAGCAAATCACGCTAAATTACAAATTTGTTATTCGATTTCAACCAGGCCTACAAATACCGAGGGGGATCCCACTGGGGAAAAAGTGGTCCTTTTTATCACTCCTCGGAAATGTTGGACCTTAAGCTGAATCCCGCCGCGAGAAGCAGTTTCATCTCCGTCATGGAAAAATACGACCCTAACGGAATATTTCTGAACAATTTCGGCCGCCGATTGCTCGAAACAAGCTCGGACGCTGATATCGACCCCGCCACGACACACTGTGCCCTGCTGGATAATTGCGTCTGCGCTGAAGACAGCGACTGCGCTGCTGGAACACACTGCCAAAAGTTTAGTCCCCAATTCAACTATAACGTCTGCGTTAATCCGAACGAACCAAATATCCCGATCAATTTGGGGAGCATTACGGCCCTGGCGAATTATAACGGTGCCCTCAACCTGCAACAAATCCTTTGCGCAAATACCCTTTCAATTGGACACTCGACTTTGAATTCTGCCCTTAAATGTCCCCCTCTCCTTGGCGGGCTTCTTCCAACAATTGGATAACTAATTATAAGAATGATGAATGCATACAACAATAAATACTTATTTGTGACTTCATTTATTTAGTGGATTGAATCGTTACTTCATACCTATTCAAAATATGTCTTCATTCAAAATATATTCACGCGGTTTAATAATTGGATAAAATTATTTCTCTATTACTTGTGCAATCAAAAATAATTTTTGTATGTATGTATGTCGCACTTGCGAAGACATAATGCATGCATATGTATATGTATTATTTATTTAAACGAAGGGGTGACTCATTCCACACTTACATATTTAGCAGTACGATATTATAAGTAGATATTCAGACTCTTAATTTCAGGGAATGATTAATCATGGTAAAAACTATTATGTAAGAGTTTTTTTATATCGGTAGTAACTCCTCAATCGGATAATTCATACATTTACATATATCTCGCTAGCCAGAATTGATTACATACAAAAGAGAAGTATATTTTTACCTATATAAGTAGGAATGTTGGTCACTGCATAAAACAGTAGTGGTAATTCCAATCTACTTAATAAATAAATTACCCATAAATAGATATTATTACCTGCAATTTATTTAGTGATGACAAATTCGACTAAAGAATTAAGCAATTACTGCGTACCCAATAAGTATTTCAAGTGTGTATTCAGTATTCATATTTAGAAGACGAAGATTAAATAAATTGTTGACTACGAAATAAACACTTGACAAATCATATATGCATAGGATTGAAGCCTGCTGCGGGACAGTGCGTAAAGAATGTGATTCATTCCTATGATAGAAGTATCACTGTATTCGGCATGATATATATGTAGGAGCATGATGCCATTTTTGTACATACATATAACAAGGAGCATACGCCTTACGCTGTGGGATTCAAAATTCGCGGAAAATTAATTACATACAGGCTTAAATGGAAGTCGGACAGTTTCGCGAAAACCCTTTTGGCGAAAAAAATTCGCCAAAAAAATCCCGTTTGACGAAAAAAAATTTCACCCACTTTACGGCATTTTTAGAACAAGGGTTTCAAAGTACCTTTTGGCGAAAAAAATGCCACATTTGGCGAAAATGAAGATTTTGTGAGTATTTATGTTAAATCATAAAGATAATACGACAATAATTTACATATTTTCTTTATTTTCATACCTTAATGTATTTGGATGAGCACGTTATCAATGGTGTCTGCTCTTCTCCCCAGGAAAACAAGCGAATGTTATCAAATTTTATTTGAGTTTATAAAACACCATGTCAAAAACTATAATCCTTCCCAAACTATATTAAACTTTGAGGCCACTGCGATTGTGTTCCTTGAAACTTAAACCACCCATCTGGAAATGTATGTATTATTTGCAGCGCGAGCAAAATGCTATTGAGAATATTCTTTATAAAATTGATAACGGTCAACTACCCAACTTACAAAGAAAAAAATATAAGAGATTGGATCACTTTTTTCGCAATGAATAAGTATAGGACTCGAGCTAATCATGAAAAATTTGTAACTTGGTTATCCAAACTTGCCAGAAGCTGCCCCACCTATAAGTTCTAATTTTCTGGAATTTGAATTATCAAATAGTCTAAATATGCAATGCAGTTAATTTTAAGGCGCTTGACATGAATAAATGCGAAATTTATATTTCGCCAAATGTGCTTTTACGAGTTTTTAATTTTCGCCATATGTTACAAAAATTTCGCCATCCGGGACTTTCATCATAATTTTTTTATCACTTTGGCGAAAATTTATTTTCGCCAAATCAGGTTTCGCCAAACTGTCTGTCAATCTGTCAACTGTATTAAGTTTGCTACCGCTTGGTATTAAAATTATTCCAATAAGAGAAAATTTGCTACTGAAATGGGAAAACTTTAAAATCGAGCTATTATTTACTTACTTATAAATACCACTTTGGCAGAGTCATATATGAATACTGCTTGGTACTATTTTCCTGCTGGATTTCTAAGAGTGCAGTGAAGTTTCAGGTACGCTATACGTACATTTATTTATATACTTTAATAAGACGTAATTAAATATATAAAGTGTGCAAGCTGGTTTTTATTTTCATGCAATACTATTTAGTATTTATTTCTTAATTGGAAATTGTATTTACATGGTGAAGGGATAATAAAATTAATAAAGGTAAACATGGGGATATGTGTAAGCAAGTTGGTCCAACTAATTTTTGGCTATCCTTACCACGACCCAGTTTTCGACAAAGTTTTCGACAACGAATTGGTACTGCATAAATACTGACTACTTCATATTTCAGATTAAATGTGTTGCAATTCACTTTCAAAATGTATTATCGTAATTTTATAGTTGTTGCAAAACGTATTTTCATTCTGTAATCTGAGCACGATAAAAACGGTCCGTCGCGTCAACCAGAAGTGTCGCAGGGCCGCAGAGAAAAGATTTGCGGAAATTAGTCAGGTATGCAATCATTTTGTACGTACAGTTAAATAAAATGTCCGGTAAATACTCCGTACAGGTATTGATTGGGTAGTAACTTCCTAGCCGAATAGAGGTAGTTTATTTCTGAATGGTAAATTTGTAACTATCGCAATCTTACTAAACGGTAATGCTTCTTACTACAGCATTAAATATTATGTCGCATTATTAAACATTCATGTCGTTACATAAATGTCGGTTACATATTTGTCGTATGACCGTTAAAAATGGGATCAAGTTAAAATACACTCTGTGCCGATACACGTACAATTGGGGAATAAACAATAACAATGGGGAATATCACCAAATCGGTGATATCTTTAAAGTATACTTTATTACTTTGCAGCAACGCCCGTTATTACCAGTGCCAGTAGAGTCGTAACGATTTAATACCAGTTTTCTAATGGTGTATAATTTAAAGGTGGCCATCAGCCTAGAGCCCAGTTCGGAAAGTCCGCATGTGCAGTTAGGGATGGAAAAAATGCTGTACAAGCTGGAATCGGCGGATCATATCAAAATCTTGATGCACGATTGGCTCGGATCGTTCAGAAATTTTAAATTGGAAGCATACATCTCCGCGGCTGAATTGATCCCAGGATGGAGCTGGACCTCTGTCACGCCAGAAGATATGGAACAAGCGTATAACTGTAAGACCAAATTTCATATTTCGATACTCTTTAACTGGTGGAATGAATTGTAGCTGCATACGTACATACGTGCATACATGCTCTTTTTCCACGCATATTTGAACTTTTACAGAAATTAAGAATTCTGAGAAACTACATACGCCTCCATCAGTCTTAGATTGGGCATTTATCATTCCACCCCTACCCTCTATTTTGAATACTGGATTTCTTAGAGTGTATGTATGTATGCAAACCATACCTGTTGACGTTCATTCACCAATAGTGAATGAAAATGAATTTCCTGTCATTTGAATCAAAATGACTGAAGGGCTCCGTCATTTCAGATGAATGACTGAATGAATTAAAGGATTTTTCACTTCTATCATTTTTCATCATGTGCTAAATACATGGGGCGAAGTAAGAATTGAAGTCCGATGAAGTTAAATGAAATGAATTTGAACTAAAATGACTGAATGTGATTGAAAATCTTCAATCAAAAATCGAGATGACTGACTTTTGAACAATAATTTGTTTAACAGGTGTGATATATTAACAATTTAACATGTGTATTTTAAAGTGTCTGAAAAAGCCCATGAAATAAATGCAGGAAATATTTAGTTGTTCTGAAAGTACATATAATTTCTTTCCACTTTTGCTTAAGAAATGTAAGAAATACAAAAAATCTAATTAAGGGTAGTATGTACATATGTAAGGTCAATCGCTATTTGGCAGCCATAACTTACATTTCTAATACTATAAATGTCTTGAAATTTCTTGCACTACAATGTACATAAAAAATGTGAAACGATATACGAAATTGGACTCGTGCGTCTCCTCCTTACGTAACCTTTTGAGTGGTGGACATACATACTTTTTACCAACTTACATACGTTTTATTCCCAGGTTTGGAGCAAATTTTGCGGAATCTGTGGCGCACTAATGGATCACTAACTTATTCCTTGACGATGCTCATGACTATGGATAATGCCAACCTTCCAAGGGATTTGTTAACTTCAATTATTGAAGCATGTAATTCATTCCCACATGTCGAAATTGAACCAAAACATTACGTAATGCGTAAGTAACTACACTCAAAATAATCTGGTGTCAATCCAGTGCGGTGTTGTCACATATAGACACCACGCGGTGTTGATGCGGGCAATTAACACCGCGCGGTGTCTATATGTGACTTCACCGCGCAGGATTGACACCAGATTATTTTGAGTGTAAATAAAAAATGGTAATTCTAAAAATGTATGTATAAGTTGGTATGTAGTGTTTGCAGAGAAAAGGAAACACCTGCAAGATATTACTGCAAGAAATTGTTGTTTTCAAGCGTAATTATCTTGCACTAGTGTAGAAAATGCAAGAAATTTTTGAATAATCCCCATAACTATACTCTGAGTTTACTGGGCTGCTCCTAACACTTACAATGCGATGGTGTGAAGTGTAACCCTCCGATTTGGCTGAAATTTTGAAATTAGGTGGTCCATGTCATTACAACTAACGTTTCTTCAGCCAGTTTGTGCGATGGTTGGAGTTACTCAAAATATTTGAGGTCAAAGTTGAAAAAACGGCTAACTTTTTTCAGGCGGAGTGAGAAAACTCCACTTCCATTCTCTTCCCCTCGCATTGATTTTAACTCCGAAAAATTATAGATTTCATCAATGTTAATTTAATTTATGATAGAAAAACATTAATTATTCATTGCACATGCGTCTTGGTCTTTGTTTTCAAATGAATTGGAAATCAGAATAACCAACGCTTTCGAAATGGAAAGTAAGTTTTTCCATGTTTATTTCCCGTTGATGAATTTATAAATTAATGTTTGTCTGAATTTTTAATACAAAGAAGTAAAAAGCTCACTTATTCAATTATGAATTAAATTTCGCGAGTATAAGGCCTGTTAATTCCTATTTAAGCGGTAATAATAATGTTTTATTTTTGTTATTTTGCATCACTACTTATGCTTGTGTATGAAGGCGTATGTGTGAGTGAGAAACCTGAATAAAATCAATGCGAGGGGAAGAGAATGGAAGTGGAGTTTTCTCACTGCGCCTGAAAAAAGTCGGCCGTTTTTTCAACTTTGACCTCAAATATTTTGAGAAACTCCAACCATCGCACAAACTGGCTGAAGAAACGTAGGTTGTATTGACTTGGACCACCTAATTTCAAAATTTCAGCCAAATCGGAGGGTTACACTTCACACCATCGCATTGTTAGAATTCACAGAACACACAAATAAATAAGCTCTATTTTTTAGGAAATACAATCAATCTCCCTAAGCTGCGGTGTACCACGTTACGACTTAGCCTGGAAAGTTTTGCAAAGGCTTTATCAAATTTTGAAAATGTGAAAAAGCTCATTATTGAGGACGCAACATACATCAAGCTGAATAAAGTTGTTCAAGCCATTATTGAAAACGGGGAAGAATTCAGAAATCTGGAAGAAATTGATGTAACCGTTAAGATTAATTTTGACGTAAGCGATTTGACATTGGAAACTTAGGTAAATATTTTAGGAAACTTACATTTTTGCTAAATTAAACAAAATATAATTTAGGAAGTACACGCCATTTCTGAACTGTCTCGATTGAAACGATTAACAATTCGAATGATAACAGATTTTGGAAGTGAGACATTTAATATGTGCCAAAGTACAATATCCGCTTTGGAAGAAGCCCTTGCAAAACATGCCCCAACCCTGGAGTTTCTTCATTTGAAACTGATGAGAGCGAAAGTTATGTCGGGGTTGCGCAAATTTGACTCAAATTTAAAGTTCCCAAAATTACGGGAACTTTACTACGACACAAGCTTGACCTTTGTTGGGATTGGAGCTCATGACGTTGACATTTTTGAACTGAATGGAGCAATCGAGGTTCGTAAATAGTACAATTTTAGAAATATTCTCATTTTTGGATCATAAATTTCTTGCAACCTATGACGAACAAGGGCATCATGTTACGTACAAAGTTGAAATTCCTCATTGCGCTTTTTTTAATGTGAAAACACGGCGTGTTCATTACCGGTTCGCATCGCAAAATAATTTTCAAAAGAAAATTCCAATCATTTAAATATGGGGATGCTAGTAGCAAATTCTCAAAGAAATTTCAGAACCAATTTTTGTTTGCCAGCTTACAATTTTTTTTTGCTAACCTGGGTAAGAATGCGGGGTCGTGATTAATACCCTCAGTGTAACAACGGGGTTACAAAAGCCAGAGTTCCTGGCAAACTGCAATATATTTAATATAGAATGAAATGATTAACTTTTGTTACAGAGTGGGAATTTATGCACAAGGTTTCCTGCCCTGAAAAAGGTTGAATTTAGTTGTCGACACGTCTTATCCAATCTTGAGGGCATGCACGATTTCAGAGCCTCGATTAAAACATGGTATAATGAGGCGTGAAAGAGGCTGTCATCAATTCGAGAAAGATTTTACTGACAAAGAAATCAAAGGGATACTTTATCATAACATTGGATACTTTAACATAAATATACCTAGAATATGTACATAAAGTGTTACTGGTATAAACTCGTAGGACGCATTAACTTTGTAAAATTTAAATTGCATTTTTATGAATAAAATAATGTGTCACACTTAGAAATTTGACTTCCATGTACCGATAAGCTTTTGAAAACGCCAACACCAAGTACCCACACTGTTAAAAATTTGGTAGAGTCACATATGTATGTAGATACTCTATGTTGGTATTCATTTGGTAATAATTTATACCAGATTAGTAGTAAATAAATTGTTCCAGAGTGGTAAATTTTTCATTATCACAACATTACCGAACGGTAATTCTCGCTAATACCACTGCCGGTAGAGTCACATATGTACTCCGGTCGGTAATGATTTAATACCAATTTTCTAAGAGTGCACCGGAACATTTATATCATGTATAGACACTGTCTCTGATGGTTTGGGCAACCACATCGTTGCCCTTGGACTGCCCCTGGACTGCGTAAATATAAAGCGCAGAACAGCTAATCATACTCTCGTTAAATACTCCCGGTAACAATTCTGTCTTTATGATACCTTTGCATTTATTACTACATAAATACTTTAGTGTTTACATCTTGCACGCAAAGTGTATTCACGAACTGTTTAACTTTACTGATTGGTTTTCCATCCCGCGTGCTGTGCTTGGTTAAGTCAAATCCTAATTTATATTTAGCTATACATAAATATGTATATGAACCTCATACATATACATTTATGTTTAAGTTTCCGCCCTTTAACCGTCGAAATGTCTAATCAGCAGGTGAATAGTTACCTAAACTCCGCGTGTTCAAGGAGGTTATAAATATTGTATATTCTTGCATATGTACATATGTAAGGATTGCCTTGCTCCCGAATTATACTTCTACGTATTCTTTTTCCACCTATATCCCAGTAAATATTTTACATCGACATACATACGTCTTGTATTAAAAACTTGTTATTATGGCTTCGCTGTCACGAAGCATTTGAGGACACAATTTAAACCATAAATTGATACATATGTAAATACACTTTTAAAAATAAGCTTACACTTTATAAGTAAATGCACTCTTAATTCTAAAATGAGTAAGATAAATTAAATGCAGAGTAACGTCGACTTAATGAAGAATATACATTATTCCAGGAATAATATACTTTACTTAATTTAGAATTCGTAGTGCAATTACTTTGTAAAGAGGTAACATATTTTTTAGAATTCATTATATTTATTTATGAGCAAGCTTTAGTGAACTATCGGACGGCCGGACGAACGTCAGGAATTGAAAGGATAACCCACTTGGAGAAGGGCGAGTGAACATTTCAGGTACTGAAGTCTGTTTACATTTCAGGTTTGCAATTTAAAAAATAATCTGTATATGTACAATGATTCCTCTTTTCCGTCTTCTTGTGTCATTTTACTTCTTCATTTCGAACCACCCCGTATTTTCCGTTAGTTCCCCACCTAACACACCGTTTTTAAGCATTCCCAACTTTTTTGAAAACTGTGAAATTTACTTTATTCATCAAACATTTACTTGCAATAATAAAACTTCTCCAGCTGATAAATACTTTGACGCAATGCGGAATAAAAATCTCTATACACCATTAACTATTGAAGTGAAATACATCAAAAGCGGAAAATACAAATATAATTTCACCCATAATGAAGAACTTTATAAACCGGGAGGAAAATCTGGAAGGGCTAAGGTCACATTTATGAATTTGGTGATATCGATTAGCAATTCTGAACAAGATGATCTGCACCCTCCAACTCTTCCAAAACATCAATTATTGCAGGCAACTAGATCGACTAATCCACATTTTCTCTTCATCTTCGTGAAATTTCCTCTCATGGGAGAATACTACTTAAATTATGCAGCAGAGTATTCACCAGCCATCCTAGTGTTTGTAAACTTATCAAATCTTAAAGACATTTTTATGCCGTGCATTGTGTGGTGCTCAGAGAGGTTACGTATAGCTTTAGCCCAATACCAAATACATACATATTCTAGTAATTAGGTTTTTCCCAATTATCTCGATAACCACTCATCATTTATAAATTCCGGATGCACCATCATCCTCTCCAACAATCCCTCTATTCAAACTTATATTTTTCAAGTTGTAATTTGCAGTAATTTAGACAACTTATTCTTGCAAAGAGTTCTCCGTTTGTGGAGTCATGTTTCAATCGAGTACTCAGCGAACGCAAGGAACATTCTGGGCTCGCGTTTCGACCTTGAGACAAAAAGCCTGGGCTACCATACCCGACACGACACGACACGCACTGTGGTGGTGATACACCCAATCACCCCATACAAGGTAACCAACCCTATATACGTATACCAACAAATCTACGGTGTTGTAAGGCTACCTCGCCTTATCAACCGCACGGCTACCTTGCCTCGATAGGGTTAGCTTCGTTCTGGGTACAAATTAGACTCCGTGTCCGATAAATCAGGTATTTTCATTCAAATTAGTCTCTTATCTAAATTCTATTCATTTCTCCTTCAACTCAATCGTCAACCAAGCTGAGCACTACTTATTCTCCGGGCAAGCATTCGTTAAACTTAAACCAGTATTCGTTTCTTAATCGGCATTTCTTTCTCACCTCTTAAATCGTTGCTTGTCTCGTCTTCATTTCTGCATATCGGTCACTCTTCCATTCGAACCCACAATACGAGGGCGACTATAGTTAAGGGTGCTAAGAACCCGGGCTGAGGAGCTTTGTGGACTCCAAAAGTGATAGCATTAGGAGAGTTATTAGAATTGGCACGGGTTTTGCATATTTCTATAGCTCACTTTTTGATTCATCATAATTGTCTGTACTTCTCATACTTGGATACCAGTAATCAAGGCCTCTTCTCTATTTGATCTCGCAGCTCTGTGGGAAACAGTGAACACTAAAAACCTCCAAGGTGGTGTCATGCTAACTTTGATCAGATACAAAAAGCCCGGCACAATTTGTGGCTTCAGTCTGGCCAAGTTTAACGTAACTGATACTGCCATCGATTGTACGTTAAACCTTTTAAGTGAACGCTACAATTTCACTTTGTTTCCTACAATGGGAGTGGCTCTCGAAAATATTAACCGCATGAAAGGTATAATTGGAAAGATAGATTTTGAAAAATTTCTGAGGGATGAATTCCTCGATGAAGTAGAATCAGAACAACTATTAATTTACGACGTCGAATTATATGCAATTAATTTCGTAATCGTTACCCAATTCCCGCACGCGGAAAACAGCATTTGGGGAGTCTTTACCCCGTTTGAAAGTGCCATCTCGTGGTCCACTTTGGCATCATGTATAGGAATTTGTGTAATCCTGCAATTTCAAGGGAGGGGATTACCCAATAAGTTTAGTGGGCTAAGATCTGTGCAGGACTTCATTATGATTCAGTCGCTCCTTTTTGGACAAGCTATTGCTGACGAGATTATCAAAAAGGTTAAGAACAAGCAAGTCGCACGCCCTCTTTTAGCAATTTGGTTCTTCGTGTGCTACCTTCTCATGGAGAATCTCTATCAAGGTACTCTCTATTCCGATTTGACCGTCTTGTATCCTCCCGATGTTCCAAAGACGGCGGTGCAACTTGTTGCATCAAATATGACAATTATTACAACTAGTCAAATTCATAGATCCTCCAAAATTTCTAACATGACAGAGTCAACCTCGTTCTTAAAAACCTCCTTAATTCCAGAAGTTTTGAGGAAGAATTTCGGCCCAGATGTCAACAAATTCCTAAATCAGATGAATGCTAACATGGAATACATTCATGGTGGTGATAAAGACATATCAATGGTTAAAAATATGTCGAAATCGTTAAAAATTAGGTCAAATAGAACCTCTAGATGGATATCAACCATAGGTACGTTTGCAATTATGGATCCGCCCCAAGAACTGGAGCTGTACGTCCATTCATTACGTATTCTCGGTAAAAGGTTGATCATCCAGAATAACCCGGATGCCTCATTTCGTGTATGCTTACTGACATTTGGTCGTCGAAACTTTATATCTAAAAAAATTCAAGGGTTTCTGCGGAATTTTGCTGAGACTAGTATACTAGTTCAGTTCAATTTCCTTGACAAAGCAAATAAAAAGATGCAATTTATAAAACAATTAGGGGGAGAAATATATTCGAGATTTATTGCGAAATTGAATTCGAACCATAAGGAGGTGACAACGTTTCATGAAATTGGGAATGAAAATAACGACGAGAAGGCTGTCGGGGCTTTGTGGTACGTGCTAGCGTTATGTTCCGTCGCGATTGCGGTGGCTACTGTTATTTTTATTTGGGAATTGATTGTAGGATATGTAAAAGTTAGAGTGGAATATAACAAATTAAGACCGATACAATTAAGCGATGTTCGGATGGTCGATCCCAGAGAAGTCGGCTACATAAGTTAGGAACTATTTGTTACAGCCGTTTGTACTACTGGGTAAAATATATTGAAGGTCTAATGCTAATTATTTAGGTGTTATGAAGCCGGCTTATATGATCGGCGAACCAGCAAATACTTCACATTTTTTATTGTATGTAGGTTTTCACGCTTAGTCTTCATACTTAGTTCAGCACGCTTAGAAAAATATTCTATTATAAAGTAGTTTACTTTCATACATTTATTAAGGGGTGAAAGCCCTTTATAAGATCGTTATGTCCGTCTGTCTGTCCGTCCGTCCGTCCGTCCGTCCGTCTGTCTGTCCGTCCGTCTGTCTGTCCGTAGCTCCGATAACTTTTGACCGAAAAGACATAGACACTTGAAATTTTAAACGTAAACTCCTAACGTCAATGGACAGGACGAGTTCGAAGATGGACACTGTGACATCGTCCCCTGTGACGATGCCGTCGTCACAGTGACGAAAAGTGACGAAAAAGTGTCACGTGTCAGTTTTGACATGTGAAACATCATTTTTAACTATTTTTCAATGAGGAATTCGAAAATTCAGGTCATTTTGCGGTTGGACGTCACCTGTGACGATGACGTCGTCAAGGTGACGATAAGTGACGAAAAAGTGTCACTTGTCAGTTTTGGCATGTGACACATCATTTTTAACTAATTTTCAATGAGGAATTCGAAAATTCAGGTCATTTTGTGTTTGGACGTCACTGTGACGATGTCATCGTCACGGTGACGAAAAGGGACGAAAAAGTGTCACTTGTCAGTTTTGACATGTGACACATCATTTTTAACTATTTTTCA